AACATCTAAACCAATCTATGTTTCTTCTTCCAGACTGAGGAGGACAAGAAGAACGTCACCAGGCTGCAGGACCTGGTTGACAAGCTGCAGCTGAAGGTCAAGGCCTACAAGAGGCAGGCTGAGGAAGCGGTAAGGAAAAGCATTTGTTTAAAACAAATGAGCACTTCATACTGTTATATCACATATGGTAAACATATGGGACTAAACATTTTACTGTATCTTGAATTCCAGGAGGAGCAGGCCAATGTTCACCTGTCCAAGTGCAGGAAGATCCAGCATGAGCTGGAGGAGGCTGAGGAGCGTGCTGACATTGCTGAGTCCCAGGTCAACAAGCTCAGAGCTAAGAGCCGTGACTCTGGCAAGGTAAATATAAGTTTAGTGTTTATCTAAAATAGCAATAATTGTCATCTGACTTACATCTAGCAATGTGTTAGTGCATGACATTCTATTTACAATATTGTTTGCATAAAGTTTAAATACTTTAAAATGTTTTGTTTGGTTTTTTTTACATTTTTTAAATGAAGTGTTGCTGAAGTCTTTATCGAATCGTGATACTAGTCTCTCACAAACGATGTATTTGTGTCTTACAGGGAAAGGAATCCGCTGAGTAAAGCGAGTGCTTCACTGTGTTGAATCATATAATATGATATAACTTATGCTGACACAATAAAGATTAAGCTGCTGCTCTTACATTGCTATCCATATGACCTTCATTTCTTTTTCTACCCATGAAAGGTGGCTAATTTTAGATTTGAATCATCTGTAACACTCAAGCAGACAAAAGATAAACTAATAATGGTTTGTAACCCACAAAAGCTCATCTGAGCCAAATCAGTGAGAGAGGTTTACATTTCAAAGTCAACAGCCAGTGACCAAAAATGGTAGGCGTACCTTTACCTTTAAATGTTAGATAGAAGGAAAACTAGTCACTTCTAATGAAATAACTGCTCTAATGTTTCTGTATCACAGCTTTAGCTGTCCTGACCATCCACACAAACACTGAGTATATGCATACGTATACATTAAATAAGAACTAATACAATTAAAGTAAGGAGAATTGATAACTGGTCGGGAGTATCAAAATAAAGTAAAACATTTCTGAATGTAAATCATTCTTCATCACAGCTTTTTCAAATTACAGCATCTTGTGTTTATTGAGTGAGAAGTTTAATGTGGAAATGTTTATCACACAGTATTGCCAGTAACATTTTTAAAGTTATATTGCTCAACAAATGGAATGAGGTTGACATTCAAAGTGCAGTAATGTGAGTGGGCCAAAAATGGACTTGAAGCTATGTCTGCAGAGTCAGTTAAAGTGTTAATAGCTTGACATTTGAGTGTGAATGCCAAAGACATATCTCTTACTCTTAATCACAAGTAATTATTCAATGTACATCGCAGTTATTTATTATTATTTATTTCTTGTGAAACTACTGCTCAACAATTATTGCTCCAATTACACCTTTTAATCAAGCAAACTGTGAGAAGGATCAGAATACATATACATTTGTACTGTAATTGGTATGTTTTTATAAATCACTCAAACCAATTAAAAAAAACTCAAAGTTTTCTATTTGAAGTAAGGGTTATGACAAATTCAGGATCTGCATTTGCTCATGGAAACATGAAACATAAGATGTTTGTACTCGCGGCAAATGCTAAAGCCATGCAGCCATCAGCTGTCATCCTAACCATATTTGGCATGTGTCCCATATTTAACTTCTGCTTTGTAAGCAAACACATTCAATGCAAGGATTGCAATCAGGTCCATGAGTATAGGAGAAAATGTGCAGCACGTTTTTGTGGTGAAATGATCTACTTGGATGTTTTAGATATTTAATACTGTTGTACAATTTGATGTGTATAGCAACATTTTCAACAAACTATTTTTATTTTCAAAACAATTGTCTCCACAATGACAAAAAAATATGCATGCACTAAAACTTCAACTACTTTTACCCATTGAATTGTTTAATTCTCAGTAAGTTTTTGATGAACTGAATGGACTTTCAAATCATTGCTAGCACAGTCTAAAAGATTTCACTAGAAATCATCTTGAAGTCTAACTATAATGCTTTGAATGCATTATTTTCACTCTATCTACTGCTTAGAGGAACTCATTTACAGTAAGTGTGGATCATTTTGTGAATAATACGTACAAGTAATCCTCTATTAAGAGTGCATTCAGTGAACAGGTGGCGGAAATTGATGATCTAAGGGATGATCTGAAATAGACTGAGAGAGGGCACAAAGTGTTTGAGCAGCTGGTGATGCATAGGACTATGATGGACTTCTAGACTCGTGAAAACATCTCTTCACTATTTGACTAATAAAATAATATATATTAAATGCAGGTGATCGAGCCTTTGCAGTGGCTGCTCCTAATCTCTGGAATAGCTTACCTTTCCATGTGAGAACTACTCAGACCTTAGAAACCTTTTGATTACTGCTAAACACCCACCTCTTATTTTTGGTATTCTACTCAATTAGAGCTGTGTTGTCTTTTTAATATTTTAATATTTTATGGTGTATTTATTCAATTTTGTCTTTCATTGTCTTTTACTGGGAGTAGCTTTTTTTAATTGTACAGCACAATAGTTTATGCATTAGGTTGATGTGCTTTATGAATTTGACTTGACGTGATGTGACCACTCTAACGAGGCTTGAGATGATTTATGTGACTAAATCTTTCAATGAAGCAGAAGAAAAGCATTTTGTATATAAAGAAGACGCTAGAGTGAAAGAGATTTCACTGTGTAGGAAACAAAGAACACAGGGAGGATCAAGAGGGCATTGGCATGGATCATGAAATTTGACATAAAACTTACCTGAAGACAAAGCAGAAGAACCGTGAAGTTGCGTGTGAGTCCTGCAGCACTGCCTGGATGAGGCTAAAAAGTAAAAGGTGGAAATAAATATTAGTAGAAACTGATTATTTTTGGCTACACAAAAGAGATGTGGAGCAGCAGATGCAAATAAAGTTCTCAATAAATATGATAAGGATCTGAGGTAAGTTTCTTACCAGCTACAGTCACCTTGAAATGTAACACACCCACACAAATAAAACCAAGTTTTCACTGAAAACATTAAAACTACAGAAACACATTACAAGGCTTGACAGATCTGGAACCATGAAGTTATCAGAACCTGATGGGGTGACACAAAGTGGTTGAGAAATCCCAGCCAAACAATCTGCATTGTTCAAAATGCTGGGAGTTGACTATAACTTTAAGTATGTATACTGTTTTTGCAAAGAACACAGAATATTGGTTGTTTTCGAGTAGAAGAAGCCTGATTTAAAAATCTAAAGCCCCACCCCCATACCCACCTGTAGACTTGACCTCTACACATTTAACTCTCACTCATTTGTAGCGCACGACAACAGCTGTTGTCAACTTGGATTAATGGCAGCAACAATGGATTCCAGTAGTGACCTTGTGACACAGAAAACGACTTATCTAAATATACCAACACATTCTTGGGAAGTTCTCAGTGACTCAAAGCATTCCTGCAGTACAATCCAATGCCTCAAGTGCTAATTACTTTCCCCTTCAGTTGGTCCAGTATTATTAAAAAACTTTTTATCTGTGTGGTTGAAATGTTCAACATGAATGTTTTACAACAGTTGCTGGTCTATTAAAGCTTCTATCCTCTCCTAAGAGTGACATATCGTCTTAATCTTTCTAACAAAGACGATTAAGATTCTCAGACATCTCCATGTGTAATCTGCTGTAGAAGTCATGATATCCCCTGGCGTGAACACATCAATCCAAATAAAAGTTTGGCAGCTGGTAAATGACAAATCTGGCATCATGGGGCTACTGAACTGCTCTGAGAAAATGTTGCCATATGCTCCGCTCAAGTATAAGAACCATGTGTTGTTGGGATTAATTTCCTATCTTGTCTCATTTGGCAGGTCAATTGGATTCTCAGAGAGAACATGTTAGCAATGGCTATATAAAAAAGTATTTTTTGTTTAAATGATGTATGTGAATGTGAACATAGTAATGGACAATAGGAAAGCACTGTGTAACTGAGCTGCCTTGGAAGTGGAAGAAGTTACTCTCATAAAAAGACAGAAAATAGACTTGAAGCCCGTAAAGAGGGTTGGGGCAACAGTTAACATTTATAGAGGATCTGTGAAATGTGAGATGCAATGCAGCCTGTGTAGACAGCTGTATTGATTAAAATTAAAGCATATGTATTCCTTCATCTGTTTGTGACACAGACAACTGCAAAGCAGCCTGTGCCGATACAGTCCTAGTTATGGCCACAGAAGATGCTTTAGAAATTAAATCTACCATACAAATAGTAATTCATGCACAAAAATACACCTGGTGGCTGTGAACTCCCCCCTTTTGTATCCATTTCTTTTCTGATGACATGACATCTTGGATTGTCATGACATGGAAAAAAATATTTGTTTGAAAAAAGTAATAATTGAATTTAAAAAACTGTTTAGAAAGAGGAATAGGGATGGTCCTTTCTGACTAAAATCCAGGATGTGATGTATGTACGAGCACATTAAGTTTTATGGATGTCTGCTCTCCCTGTTATTCACACCACATTTGGCCTGTGTCCCATATTTAACTCTTGCTGCGTGAGCATAACGGATTCAATATAAGGCGTCCAACAGATCAGAGCTGTGTGTGGTAGAGGACCCTTGAAGACTCCTGCTTGTGGTAGGCTTAACTTCTATCTGTTCTGGAGCAGTATTTATTATTATTGTATTAATTAGTTCTGTTTTTGAGCAAATCTTCCTCGCTTTCAAATGTTTCTCAGGAACTCAAAATATATGTGTTGTGTTTTCAACAGATTGTGGAATATAACAGACTTTTGACGGGAAAAGGGCCAGGTATGTAAAATACTATACAATAATTTTTCTACATTGCAAGTGAAGTTGATCTATTTTTGAAATATATATACATTTCTGTGCCTCAGCTCCATTGAAGATAAGGGTTGTTCCTTCATGTGGTCTCAGACTTTTAATTAAAATGAATAAATGTATGAATGTAAACTAAGAGGAGTGCAAATCTTATTTAATTGAAGGAAGGAGTTATGGTCAAATCACTTGTGATGATGAAATTACATCACCTTGATAGGGATATGTTCACGGGATAGTTGAGCTCAGTTATTCTCGGCTGTTTAGTCACGTGAGTTTTAAAACCAAGATCACATTTATTTGTCATTACCTTACAGAAGTAAACCGCCACCATGAGTACGGACGCGGAGATGGCCATTTATGGCAAAGCTGCCGTTTTCCTGCGTAAGCCAGAGAAGGAAAGAATTGAGGCTCAAAACAAACCCTTCGATGCCAAGAGCGCCTGCTATGTGGTTGATGCCAAAGAGCTGTACCTGAAGGGAACCATCATCAAGAAAGATGGTGGCAATGTCACTGTCAAAGTCTTGGACACTCAGGAGGTTGGTGTCTTGAAGTCAGACTCCATGGGCGTTAAATGTTAAATGCGATCAGTTCTCATTGTGACCATGTCCTGCTGCAGGAGAAGACAGTCAAAGAAGATGACGTCACTCCAATGAACCCTCCCAAGTTCGACAAAATTGAGGACATGGCCATGATGACCCACCTCAATGAAGCCTCTGTGTTGTATAACCTCAAAGAGCGTTATGCAGCCTGGATGATCTACGTAAGAAAA